AGGAGCCGCTCCGGGGCTCTCTGAGGTCAAAGGCAGCCCTGTGGTGTCTGTGCCTCAGGCTCCAGCTGGGCTCAGGGGCCGCGCGAGCCCATCAGCCCCAGGTGCGGCAGCGAAAGGCCGCAGGGCTCGGGCGGGCGGAGCCCCTGTGAGGGTGCGGCCCCTCATGGACGGACGGACGGACGGACGGACGGACGGACGGACGGACGGACGGAGCCCTCGTGAGGGTGCGGCCCCTGCCCGGCGGCGGTGTCGGGGGCTGAGGAGGACCTTCCCCACGCTGTGAGCGCCGGGCCAGCCTGGCTGAGGTGAGTGACACGGGGCTCCGCCCCGGGGGTCTCTTTCTGCAGTTTCCGTGCTCTACCTGTGTCCCTCCAGCACTGACCCCTGCGGTGTTGGCCTGAGTGTAGCACTGGCACTCAAGAAAATGAGGGCCAGCTCAGATTTGTGTTTTCTTCTGAGGTTTGCACCTTGCTGGACCTTAGACAACGTATCCGTGTCCCCCACGGTGTCCCCAGGACCATGATCTCTGAGGGGGGACACGGCTCCACCAAGAGCCTGCTCTGTGGACAGGTCCACACTGCTGCTCCATGAGGCCCCCAGCACTCTCAAATCCCTGATTTTTAAGTACTGTTGGTTTTTGTTTTTTTTAATTATATTTTGCTTCCCCGAGGAACAACCTTTCCATAGGAATGGAAAGCCGGTTTTCTGGCTCGTTCCTCCCCCGTTGTCCTTTTCCCAGAATCAAAATGCAGCAGTGTAAGGAAGTAGCAAAAACCCTGTCTTCCTTTCACCCCTTCATTCTTATTCCTTTAGGTCAATTATACTGTTATTTTAGTGGTTTATGCCTGTTGCTGAACTTCTTTACTGATACATGGAAGGCAGGTAACATGCCTTTTCTTTCCCGGTGCTTTGCTGGTGTGGCAGAATGATTCCCCGGCCTTGCCGGCGGATTTTCAGCTGAATGTCCCCGGGTTGGAGGGTGTTGTTGGAGGCCATGGGCAGTATTGACAGTGCCGGCGGCACAGGTTCATTTGCCAGGACAGGCTGGACTGGGAGCAGGCACAGTCCCAGCCCTGTGGCTGCTCAGCCTGTCAGCACTGCCGTGGGGTGCTGGAAAACCCTCGGGGCTCAGTTTGCCCACAGACAGAACAACTGCTGACTTTGGTTTCACTTCCCCGGGGAGGAGGCAGGAAGGGGTCCTGACTCTGCGTTGTTCAGTCTTGGCACGTGAAAGGTAAAAAGCCTTTTTGGCATCGTTTGCCAAAATGTGGGGAATGCGACCAGCCATAGCAACGTGCTAATGAATTGCACTGAGCACAGAGTGATTTGTGTGCCATGGCAGCATGTCTAATCCATAAATCTAGAGCCTGCATGGCTTGGCTTCTCCTGGCTCAGGAAGCTGCATGTCACAGATGCTTTCCTGCTCTGCTGGCCAGTGGAGGATCTGCTGGGATGCCTCTAAAGGGAGAACCGGTTTTCTTTCTGAAGGGAGGGACTGTCCAAGGCTGCACAGAGGCTTCAGAGGGGAAGTAGAAGTGAAATATGACAAAGATAAATGCAAGCTATTAAGCTGGCTTTGGAAATAACTTTCCAGTATCGAGGCCAATCCAACCCCTGGGTGTGCAGGATTGGGCTGCCATGCCTGCTGGACAGGCTGCTGCATTGCCAAGGGTTCAGATGCTTCCAAACAGCTCCTTTCTCTCAGAGTTACCAGGTTAAAAAACCCTGAGAGACCAGACCAAAGTGTTTGCAGCCTTCATGATGCAGAGCTCCAAACGTGAGGTGTCTAAAAAGCGGGTCAGCACTTCCTAAGTGAAGGACCAAGTGGTTGGTAGATGACATTGGGAAAGGCACACTGATTCTTTCTTCTCTCAAATGCCTTGTTTCTCAGTTATCTTCATGGTGACTTCTGTATGTTTTGCGGAGTAAAAGAAGGCTTGAAAGCAGAGCAAGCTGATATTGGAGCTTAGAGAATTTTAGCCCATAATCCAACTGAAAACCTGTTTGTCAGTCCCTGTACCGTGTGGTGACAGTGGTTCTGTTTTGCTTCAAGATTGCTGCAGGTGCTTGCTTACAGATTGCCTGGGTCCCACCCTGGGAACCCACCCCTGTTGTTTTATATACACTTTCACAGGTTCTGCACCCTTGTGAGTGTGGTGAAAATAATCATATTTGTACATGTAGAGAACAACTTGTTATCATCCACTGCAGAGCATCCCAGAGAGAGTGCCAAGAAAAGCAGTGTTGGTTCCACAGCATGGGACATCTTGTCTGTCCTGGGGTACATGAGAGAACTATTTTAGGAATTTTTAGAAGTGACTTTTACATTGTTTTTTGTATATTTCCATATAAAAACAGAAGCTCAGGCTCATAGGCCTGGTTTTGGAGGGCTTTGACAGAGACCACAGTCTAATTTAACAGATTTCTGCAGATGATTAGTTGTCTTGGAGAAGTGCCTCGAAAGCAGCAGGTTGCAGCGTTAAGGTTTGTTCTGAAGATGGTATGTGTGTACATACTGAATGTCTAGATAAAGCTCTGTACTCCCTGGAAGGACAGGATAGAGCACTGCTGGTGGACATAAAAGATTTAAGTGGGTTTAGTCCAAAAAACCCACCTTAAATCACTCTCTTAAATCTACAAGTAATTTTTTTTCTGTTTCTTTATACGTCTCATGGTCTGCTTCTGCTCTGAAATGTTTGTGACTATGGAGGACAGAATATGCTGGGAGGTATTTCTTTGTATTTCCACAGAGGAGGATTAACCTGAGAGTTATGAAACCAAAATGCCAGGAACGCCCTCTGTGGATACCTGATGGTTCAGGCTGTGTAGCTGATCTCCTTTCCTGTCTGTAACAGCTGATGATCATTTCTAATCTGCCCTGGCACAGCTGTGTGGTGCCCCATCAATGCCATTCCTTTTGCAGGGGAACAGCTGTGCTCACCAGAGGACAGTCTGTCTGCAGAGCCTCTGCCGTGCTGTCACCGGGGCTTGCTCGGGAGAGGGCAGCAAATCGCTTTGAATCTCCTGCTTGTACTTGGAAAATCAAAGTGAGATGTGGGCCTGGGACAGGATGAAGGCAAGTGTGATGGGTGTCTGCCCAGAGGCTGACAGGGATGCTCCAGACTTAGCTGCCCAAACAGCAGACATTGCAACATTGCTTTTTGAACCTGTAACTACTAGTTTAGACAGTTCTTTCTTCTTCTTGTTCCAAAGCATCAGACTAAAACAGAGAGGAAGAGGAAGGTGGCCATTATGGTGCTATGGCTGTGATGGAAATAGTGTTGGTTCTCTGTCTGATGGTCTTTGGAGGGTGGAAATCCATCCTTTGGCAGGTGGTGGAAAATGCCCTTGCTCATAATCACTGAGCAGTGAGAGCAGTGGGTTTCCACTGATGTGCCTGTTGGAGGTGGGAAGGTGCCTGGAGGACGGGTGGGAGGTGAGTGTTCTGAGGATACCCAGGGGTAGGTAGGACAGAGGTGCAGAACAGCTCAGAGTTACTGGGGTTGGCTCTGTGTGTCCATGGGACAGAAAATGCAGAGGCTGAACAGGCAGCTGTGTAAGCACCCAGGGGATTTAAATGCCTCTGCACTGGGAGGAGCTGTGGGGAGCTGAAATCTGGATCCAAGTACTGTGAAACACCAACATCTCCTGTTAGGAATCATAGCCCTTGGCTTGCTTGTCTCTCATGGGATACAATAAGGGCTGTGCCTGTGTTTGGGGAGCTTTTTTCACCAGGTCCTTTTACCTCCGGCATTCTCAAGCTCACCAAGGGTTGCTGTGGGTGCCCACGTTTGCTCTGCATCTCCATTACCTGATCTTTCAACACAGTGTTAGCAAGATGTTTTTTTTCCCAGGATGAGACTTTAATTCCCTCCCATTGATCATGGCCAAAGAAGAGAGCTTAAATGGAGATTTTATTCCAGAAACAATGGCCCCCTTATGTGCTGTGTTGTGATCTCTGTGAATGAACCTGCTGGTGAAATGAAGGCTTTTCCCCGGGCTGTTTTGTACCTTTCTCAGGTGAATCTTCCTATTAGGTCAGCCTGGATTCCTGCAGAGAGAGAGAAGGGAGGTAAAAGATGAAGTCTTTGTTCTGTGGGGACATGAGACAAAATGACAGTCAGTGGGACTTGGGCTTCATATTTAGTTTCCATAAATCCCCATGTGCTGCAGGGAGTTTGTCCACATTAAAACCTA